TGAGCCAATATTACAAACATAAACTGAAGATGGTCTTGAGCATTTCCTTGTTACCTTTGGGAGAATTGCAGCTGCCTGGTTCTTCTGCCTCATTCGTCTACCTATAACGTTAATGTGCCTCTGTTCATATGAATGTTTATTAACTTTCAGTTTCAGTTTCCTTCATATTTATCCTGATTAGCACCTCGGGGAGCTTTCTGGGAGGGTAAAGGAGTTGTGTGGGGAAATGGATTCAGCCTAAAAGTGAAACAGTGCAGTGAAGTAATTAAGGAACAATAGTCAGGAATGTTCTAATCCTAAAACAGCCGCTGAAGCTGCCATGCTTGCTCACGTTTTTGTGGAAACCCAAAGGAAGGGGCAGCCACTGAGTAAGACTTTTGATGAGTATGTCTGCAAGCCAGTATCATCACACCATCACATTGGATGTGTCGGAGACTTGGGGCAACTTGGGGTTCAGTATCTTTCCCAAGGATACTTCGGCATGCGCACTGGAGCATCCAGGAATCTCACCATCAACCTTCCAATTGATAGATGAGCTCCTGAGCTACAGACACCCTGACAGGAATACCAATAAGTATTCACTAAGTCCAACAAAACTGACCCAAATGTGTTTTTAAAACAACAGAAATGTTGTTTGGGGGGCAATAAACCTCCAAAAAAACCTGTTGTGCAGTCAGAGCTTTTGCCAAGCACCCAGCCTTCTCTAGCTTAGTTTACCAGCCTTGGGTTTCTTCTCCAGTGACAGAGGGATGCATCGATTCTCTATAAAGCAGGCTCCTACCTCTAATCTTTGAGAGTCTAAAGCTGGCAAACAGTTCAGATGGTGTAAATCTGAAACGGCTCTTTGGGGGCTTCAGACATGACCTCACTGGTAATAAATGGCCAACAAAACGTGCAACAGTTTTAAATGCATCACGTCTTAATTTTGTGACTATTGTTAATCTTCTGTTTTCATGTGATCCCACATTACATTCAGCTCAGCCAAGACTTTATTAGCCAGACTATTCTTCGTGGGCCAACCTTGACTCACAAAAGAGCCCACACAAATCTGATTTCAGAAAATAGGCAGAGTGGGGAGAACATGACAAGCGAAGCAAAACAGCACGCGCACTTTTGGGACAACCTAATTCACTTCAGAAACTCGGAATATTCGCTGATGCACCGGCCCTGCTCCTCTGCAGCATAATGCAATATAAAGGCAGTGTCTGCTCAACAATTGAGACAGGAACAGAGGTCAAACTGTGGCTATTATTCTCTCCCCTGCTTCTCTGTCTGTGCACTTCTACTTACACCATTTAACTGTGCTTCCAAAAGAATAGCTGCTGCCGTGCTGTGGCGCTTTGTTAACACTAATAGAATCAGGTTCTTTACAGGCAGGGTAGCGCTGCTTTTGCTGGGCCCACCCCTGCTATTGTGTGGCTTAGGGCAGAGTCAGCGAGTATTGCCCCACAGCTTGGTGGAAGAGAAACGTGTCAGGATGGGATACGTGGTTGACAGTGATGCTATTTGGGAGACACAAATGAATGGATGGGGGTGGGGGGAGCAGCAAAGTGAATGGAAGACTGGGAGGGGAAATGGGGAAAAGAGCAAGAAGCACAAACTGCCTTTAAAGATGAATGTTTCAGTGTTGCTTTGCTTTGCAGCCAAGTTGTAGCTGTGCATATGTGACTGTGTGCCTATCTCTCTGTGGAAAGAGTGCACGCTCTCTCATGTGCACATGTGCTCTGTGTATCACGAACACGGCAAACCATTCATCTCAAAGAAAGACAGTAAAACCAGTTCCACCAGAGTCATGATGCGGTGTAAATGAGAACAGAATCAACGATCTGCAAGTCTCAAACATATATTTGAGTCACAATCCAATAAAGAAAACATTGACATTTGTAAACATTCTTCTATTTTGTGTAAAATAAGAGCTCGTTTTGAATCTGATGGCAGTAACATGTCTCAGAGTTTGAGGAGTGCAACATAAGACTGGAAAAGTGAGCAGTATTTAAAAGAAACAGCTGGAGGAACATTTTATTGCATGCCAGGTGCATGATTCTGCCATTAAAGTCACTGCATAGGCTCGGGAACAGTTACAGAAATAAAATGTTCACCATGTCATCCACAAACGCAGGTCAGAGCTCTATCATACGGAGAACACGTGAACATGATCCAGCCATCTTCTCCGGGCCAAAGGTCGTTTAAAATAGTCTGAAACAAAGTGTAAAACTGTTTTGTGGTGAGATTGATCAAAACAT